AGTTGGGTACAAATAAATAGGGAAATAAAATTATCGGACGTAGAATTGGAGATTTTAGAGTGACAGACTAAAATCCCCAATTCGGTTCTATCGTTTGGGTGCTGAAGTGTAGAAGTTAGCTCTCAGGCGAGGGGAACGTGGGAGCTCTGAAGTGAAAGTCGGTATCCTCCCAGCCTAGCTGCAGATTCAGTAAACTAGCGTAGGATTAGTCAATGTTCTTTATGTTTGGACCAAAGGGTAAAAAATATGTATGCTCCTATTTGACACAATACAATTTGAAATGATTCACTTTATTCATTCACTATAATTTCTTGACAAGGAGAATGATACTTTCTCATTTATTGAATTTCACATTAAAAACTTTATTAGTATAATTAGTTATTTAAGAGTTATTAAAATTACATAAAATTACATATTCATATTGTCTATTAGTGATAGATAAACAATTTGAATTATATTGTTGTGATTAAGTATTGATTTTCTAAAATCTTAGTTCGTAGTTCTAATATTACTCCCTGTGGGATCGATATCTAAGACTCGCGATACATATACTTGCGTTGATAAGTGTGATTTTACTATTATTTGAATATTATATATATACATCTTTATCGAATCTATAACCGTTGTTAAATTTTTGGTGCCGTTGCTGAGGAATTAAATCTTTTAGCAGCAATATTAAATACTTATATTTTTAAGCATATATAAAGTCGCTGTCACATAACACAAATTTTTTATGTATTTACATATCTCACACCTAAATTTTCATATTTAAATATTTACATATAAAGAACATATTTACATACATAGCACTGATCTTATGCATTTACATAACTGAGACCTAAATTTTCATAATTACATATGTAGCACAAATTTGTTATGTATTTACATATCTCAGACCTTAATTTTCATATTTACATATTTACATACTTAGCTCTAATCGAATGAATTCACATATCTCAAACCTAAGCAAATCAGTTACACACATTTCAGATCTTATGAAAAATCATAAATTCTAAAATTACTTAGAACAAAATTCTTATGTATTTACATATCTCAACCCTAAACTTTTATATTTAAGCACATCTCACTCTAAACTTAATGTAAAATCATGTAATCCATATATATTGCATATCTAATAAAGGAATACAAAAAATACTTGACAAAAACCTGTGTACTTTTGGATCTAACACCTATGCAAGGAAAAAAAAAATGAAAACTTATGTCAAACCAAAGCCTGGACATATGGAAGAAGATTTTTCATCATGGAACCTGTGTACTTTTGGATCTAACACCTATGCAAGGAAAAAAAAAAATGAAAACTTATGTCAAACCAAAGCCTGGACATATGGAAGAAGATTTTTCATCATGGAAGGGTTGGAGCGGTGAAACAAAGCCGGAATGGTCGGAAAAGCTTGGACGGAAGAAATGCGAACAAAAGGCTGCGGTTCATATGAACCATATTTAAGGGCTTTTGTGTAGGCATTAGTGTCCGCTAATGCCAATGCTAATAAGTAAGTTGAGTGCTAATATAGCGGACGCTAAGCCGATGCTACAGCGTCGCCTTAGAGTGCTCCACTAAACGTAACTCGTCTGTGTCTACTCTTTTGGGAGCGGGACCGTGGGCGACTCTATAAGGACACAAATGGGTCGCTAATTTTACTTCAAAATTATTTTTGACGCTAATTATGACGCTAATCCACAGCTTTCCCATAATGACCTCTATGCAAAGTTGAACTCCTTGGCAATATATAAAGACGGACAATGTCTTCAAATAAAAGCCGAGTAGTATTAAGAACATCGAATATTTTTTTTGCAAATAATAAAATATGATATTTTAGAAAATAGGACCACCAACACCACGGTGGAATCAAATCCACTTTTTTCCTTGGTAAGCAGAGAATAAAAATGATGCTCAAATCTTTCCGAATGATAACTTGAATAGGTAAGCATAAATACAAATCGATGTCTTGTGAAGTCTTTTTATATCTCAGAAATGTAGCCAGCTTTCTATGAATCAACAAACAACCTTACTTAGTCTGGACCAAGAAAAATGGGCATTAAGTATAGCTACAATCATACCGCATCCAATGTGATCGTCCAACTCGTCGACGTGCATGTCATGGATGACATGAATTCGTAAAAGATGTATTAGGAATACATAGATGATTGTTGTTAATACAATTTTTTCATTGCATAGCAAAATCTTTATCCTTGTCGTATTGTTCTTTGATGGATTTCATCCCTATGATTGTAGTTGGAACAGTCATTAGCAAACTGAATATTTGAATAAGAGCATCCACCACTTTGTTGCTCAGTCCTAATTTATATTTGAGGATAAAGTGGAATTTTTGCAGTAAACAATTCACCTCATATGCATCCAGCTTAATATCTCTTATGATTGTAAAAACTGTAAAGCTTCGTGATCATTATATAGAATAAATTCTCGTTATATTAGGTAGTACTCTTAATATATCAGAGCTCTTACTGCATAATAACTCTTGCTCTTACATAGAAAAATTTCATCTTGTTCTGCTTAACTTCTCATTGAGGAATTCAATCTGGCTGACTTCTTGGGATAGAACTGCTCCTATTCCTATGGCTAATGCATCAACCTTAACCTCGAATGGTTTGTTAAAATCAGGTATGGCTAACACTAGAACTATGCATAAGGCTATTTTGATGTTTTCGAAACTTTCCCGTTGCTCAGCTTGCCAAAAAAATATTTTTACTTTTTTGATAATTTGTGAAATGAGTCATAAGAAAATTGAAATTTTGGATAGATACAATGTAGAAATTTGTTTGGTCGGGGAAACTAAGAACTTCTTTAGTTAATTTTTCCTATTCAACCATCAAGCTAGCAAACATATGTCATAAATCTTGAGATAATTTCTTTAGCAAGGAACATTCAAAACATAAATTATAAATCATTCAGAACTCTTATTTCAGTAAACTTATAGTTGAATGAACTCTCTTAATGAAACAGATTCAATGATGCCATAATTGATCCAAGTTGAGCAAGATCAGACCTAAATCAAGCCAATAAACCACTTTTAGAAGCTTCCGATCCTTAATTGGAAAGTCAAACAAATTCTAAATTTAGCAAGCTTATAGTCAAATTGAGTATCTTAACAAGACGAATCCAACGATCCCAAGATCACTCAATTAAGATATAATTAAAGCACTCAAATATATGTAGAATGTCATTTGATCACACTCAAATATATGCAGAATGTCCGTTGATCAGTGTGATTTGTCTAAATAATTTGATATAGTGGTTTAGATTATTTTCTTATTTGAATATAGCCCTATCCCTTTCATGAAAGGGGGGCTAGTACTTAAACTGGAGGAAGATCGGGACTTGTAGGAGAAGGAGCTAAGGTTCAATGTTCTGCAAAGAAGGTTCAAGGAATGCCAGTTATTCCTACAACTGTCGATCACTGTCAACCAATGCTCACCATCTGCCACAGACAATTGTCAGTTTTCCTCTGCTCATGCAATGAAGCCCCTTACAAAATCATGACATACACAACGGATCTCAACATACACTACATAGTAGTAACCAGAATTTTGTAGTATTAAGCATCACACGATGCAACTATGCGCCTTAAATACAACACAATGATAAATTCCACATATGATGCAAAAAGTCACCCTGAATAAGACACAACGACGCTCCCAATATACGGTACAACAATGCACCCCCAAGACGGTGCTACAATACAATCTGAAGATGTTGTATCAATAGACACCGATTACGGCTTAATGTCATGCCTCACATATAGTGCAATAATACATGTTGAAAGTGGTGTAACAATGCTCTACGCATAAAATATAACGACGCATCATTGAAATGGTATAATAATGCACCCCAAATATAGTAAAATGGCGCACTATGCATACGGGGCAACAACATACACCGATGATGGTGTAACAATGCATCCCATAATAACTGCCTAAAATTGCCTTACTTTGGATACGGTGAATTTCTTCGAACTCCTTTAGCCCTCCCCTTGCAGCCCATCCTACAGCCTATGTGACCAACAACTGCTATTTGGACCACAACTCATACAAATCACAACTCCGGCCTTTATGGCTTATGAAAGTTATCACAGCTCGTGCAGCTCCCAACTCTAGCCTCTGTCGCTTATGGGCTTTATCGCAACTCATGTAGATCTTAACTCCAGCCTATATGGCCTACAAACCTTATCATAGCTCGTGCAATTCCTAACTCTGGTCTATGTGACCTACAAAGTTTATCACGACTCGGACATCTCCTAACTCTGTCGACCTCTTTGACCTATATATGTTTTCACAACTCGTGCAGCTCCCAATTTTGACCTCTTCCGCCTATGAATGCTATCATAGCTCAATTTTGACCTTTAATTTTCATGCAAATGCTAAATAATCACTCTACTATCACAAATCTTTCACCTTGCATCACGCATAAACCACTAATAATTGATATAAATTACTTTTCTTTTATAATAACTTACCCATTTTTATATCATACTTATGAAAGATGACGTTTCCTCTTACAATACACTTGGATTAATTTATCAGATATTTATTCTCTTATATTCACTCTAGAAGCTCCAAAAAAGAAAGACTTGGAACAACTTAGTTTCACTTTTTGTTTATACATGTGCGCATACACTAGAGATCTAAAAAATTGTAGATTAGTTTAATTTGTCTCTTTCTTTACCTAGACTTCTCCAATAGCTTTTACGGGTTTATGTGCTACAAATGAATTTTTATTCACCAAGTAACAAATAGTAATAATTTCATCACCTTACAAGCACTTGTTCAATTTTACAAATGAGAACATGCATATTACATTTTTGTAGTAAAACTATATCCATTATTATTTGAGCAGTATTATTTTATTTACAAAACTAATTAAACTTACTATTCAAATATTCTATCTCATTATTTCTTATTAATCTCTTAATCTTCTTCCTAATGTGATTCTCAATCAAAATTTATCATTAGCTGAATGCTTTAAAAGCTCTATTTTCCTATTTCAAATCATAATTCTAAAATTTTCTGGAGATATTTTCATAAGTTGATCCCACTTGATGATATACTTAAAATGAAAGGTTTAAAACTTGCATCTTTCTGTTACAACTGTAGAAGAGAGGCTGAAAATTTTAATCATTTGTTCTTTGAATGCACTTTTGCTCAAGAGGTTTGGCATAGTATTGGACTTTACTTTGGGATTACTTGGCCATCAAATCTGACGCTTAAAGATTCTATCAATACTTGTAAATATTTTGATTCTACTTTCTTTAAGCATAGTTATTTTCCTGACATTGTATTATGGTTCATTTGGATGACACAGAATAGTCACAAATATGATGGTTCTTGCCATACTCCCTCTACTACTTCTACTTTTGCTGCGACTTATTTCAAGAAGGCTTGGAAGACTTCCATTGTACAAGAAGCTTCTCCTAATGTGGATAGGGGTTGGGTAGGACACCCATCTTAATTAGATGGGCACCACCCCCACACGGTAGGATCAAGGTAAATGTGGATGGAAATTATGCTAATGATTATAAGGGTGTCGGTGGAATCTTTAGGGATGAAAATGGCATTTGTTGCACATACTTTGCTACACCTTGTTTGGCCAATTCTCCTATTGAGGCTGAAATTATTATTGTTCTTGCTGCATTACAAACTGCTATTTCTGTAAATCTGAAAAATTTAATTCTGGAAACTGATTCTGAGATTCTCTATAATATGCTTTCAGATAGGCTTATTCCCCTATGGCATGCTACAATTTTGTTTAAGCGTATTAGGCATACTATTGAGGGACACTCTTTAAACATATCATACTCCTTTAAATATAGAGAAGGCAACAAATCTGCGGATTGACTTGCTAAATGGAGGGTACAGGGGCAATAGTTGGTATTACTCCTCCTTCTATGTTGAGTAAGCTAATTAATAGTGATATGTCAGGTCCTTATGTACGTGCTTAATTTGGTGCCCCCATTTGGGAATGTATTTAGCTTGTTTGTTTTGCTATCTTGGTTTTGAACTTGGTTTGAATGTTGGTTTCTGTTGGATGGTTGGCTGTTTGGATGGTTTTGAGTGTTGGTTTAGCAGAATGATTACCCAAATTTTTTACCCTTATATGTTTCTTAATATGAGAAACTATCTTTTTGTTCCTTTCTGGAGTTGCTCTAGCACTAGAGATTGTTGTTTTTATGGCTATGACCTCACTTCTACGTTGAGCAACGGTTGCTGGGTCACTTGGTTCATACATGACATTACCTTAATTGTTTTAAGCTTTAGGCTTTGCTGCTCCACTAGCCACTTTTCATTTATTGCTCACGTGCTTATGTCACCTGTTATAGCCTGGGATAGACTTTTTGGGAATTACAGTACTGCTGCTGAGGTTCTCTATAAGTTGCTGATGTCTTGGGGATCATTTTCTAGCAGTCCTTGTTTCCTTGGGTCTGCTAGATGGTGCTTTGTTACCTCGTAGTATTTCAGGATGCATGGTTTGGGTGCTCACATCCTTTTGGTCTCGCGGTTTCACTGGTTTTTTATTTGCTTCCTCTTACGGCTATTGGTGTTATTGACATAATTGTATTACTTTACCTTGTTATGCTATATGTCTTTTCTGCAGGAAGTTTATGTCTGGTCAGGCTATGATTTGCTTTCTTCATGGGGTCACTGCTCCTTCCCTGGACTGCGATTTTCTGCCTATATGCCCACTGCCTGTTATGCTCCATTCTTGGGTTTCGGATGTTAAGCTCTTGAAATGCTTGGATGGCTACATACTCTGCTTTGGCTGAACTTCTTGAAAGCTTTTTCGACTTTGCTTCTTTAGTTTTTCACTTTATGATCACACTTTTTGCTTTATATGTAATTTTGGGTATACTTCTTATGTTGGTATACATTTTTTTGGTCTTAATACATGTATTTCCCTATTTTTTCTGTGGAGTTGTAATGTGGATACGGGAACCCCTGGTTTGAGTTTCTTTTTGTGTTTTAGATGGAGATCCACTATCTCACCCCCCTAAATTTGCACCTTTTTAATTATTAAAGCGCAAGGAGCCACGAGCTGCTCTTTTAACCAATATATATATA